GACGGAAATTTAAATATTGTTTCAGGATGAGACATCGTCTATGTATGTTTATATGAATTCAAAAGATAATAAGGAACCTATTGTGGGATTGAAGCTTCGGCAAGTGATAAGGATTCATCGAGGAAATGTTCGCCGAAACCCGACCACAAATACTAAAGAAGGTGTGGTTCAAGTCGAGATGGCAGGTATGAAACTTTGAATGAAACGAGCTTGTGCCACCTATTACTTCAGGATGCCACTTTGTCGCTTGGCCACATTTTGGAGATGCCAACAATCCCATTTCGAAGAGTTCGAAAAACTGGACGAAGTCTGATATAGACCAAGAAAAAGTAAGATTCATAAGTGAAAATCAGCAAAGCCTCGTTTTAAATTAAAGAAATCAGTGAGTCAGGGGGCACTTCTATTACAAGTTTTACGGTATCTAACATTGCAGAGTTTTGCTGGTCTTCTAGACTTCGCCCGAAAAGATGTCGATTTACCTCAAAGCTCACCGAAGAAACTACTAAAAGGGCTTCACTCCAATTTTATTCAGCAATATGAGAAAGACAAGGGTGGATATGTAAGACTTACTTTTTATTCTGCACATCACAACACAAATTTTTTAGCATTACATAATGGCCGAGCATTTACGAGTCAGTGGAATTTATTGGTGTGTTAATGCTATGGATTTAACGAAAGAGGTGAGCTTATACTGAACAATATTGTTTCGAAATACATCGTTCTCAGCTCCATCGAATGTCAGCGGTCGAAATCATAGACTACGTTCTCAGTTGCCGTAACAAGGATGGTGGTTATGGACCTGCTCCTGGCCACGATAGTCATCTTCTACATACACTTTGCGCAGTTCAAACTCTTATCATTTTCGACTGTTTACAAAAAGCAGATGCCGAATCGATTTGCGAATATGTGAAAGGATTGCAACAAGACGACGGGAGCTTTTGTGGAGATTTGTCAGGTATTTATATTTCCAGCTTATAGTTTAACTGTATCTCAACATTCGCTATTAAAACTATCAAACGTTCAAAACACGAATCTGTCGTTTTTTTTCAGGTGAAGTAGATACTCGTTTCACCCTCTGCTCATTTGCTACATGTCATCTACTCGGACGTCTGTCTGCACTGAACATCGATTCCGCTGTTCGTTTCTTGAAACGATGTTATAACACTGATGGCGGATTCGGAACTCGACCTGGATCCGAGAGTCATTCGGGACAAATTTACTGTTGTATAGGAGCATTAGCAATCGCAGGAAGACTTGACGACATTGACAGAGATCGAACTGCTGAGTGGCTGGCTTTCAGACAGTGTGACAGCGGGGGTTTAAATGGTACGAAACGTTTTTTTTTCGGATGCTTGTCAATTATTTAGTTCAGGACGTCCCGAAAAGCTCCCAGACGTTTGCTATTCGTGGTGGGTTCTCGCGTCTCTTTCTATTTTGGGTCGATTGGATTTCATCGATCAGACATCAATGAAGAAGTTTATTTACGCTTGCCAAGATGATGAAACTGGTGGATTTGCCGATAGACCAGGCGATTGTGTAAGTTTCTTTATTCATCCGAATATGCGATATTATATTAGAACATATAATTGAATACAAAGACAACTTTATCATAATCAAATTTCAAAGAGATACAATTACTTGAGAGTTCCCTCAATCACAGCTAGCTGCATCAGCTGAGCACGTTTGAGATTCGAGTCATTGTTCTCCAAAAAATCCTGAAGATAAGTTTTGACCTGTTGCATCTTATCATTGGCGCTATCTTCTGAATCTGCGTTCACGGTGATGAGTACATGAATTGGCTCATCGAGATGCTCCCAACCGGCTCGTCCACGGAGACGCTCTTCTTTACTATCATCTCTGGTGCATCCTAAATTCCTTAGTGTAAAAAATATATGAAAATTTTAATTTAGACCTTTTCCTCGAATGAACAACTTGCATCCGAGATCCGTCTCTAGTTGGCGAATCGTGATTCCACGTGGGCCGATAAGTCTTCCGATTGGGTTAATGTTACTGAAAGTCGTTAAATTTTTAAATATCGATTCGTTGGTACTTACGTTGGTGTCTCCTTCGGGAAAAAGATCTTGTCGCACTTTTGAATCTTTCCCTGTTCTTTCTTTTCCTCTTCTACTTCTTTATCAATACAATTCGTGGCCCCAATCAAAGATAAAGTTAATGGACTAAAGCTTTGGCGACGTCTCAGCGAAGATCCGTTTGCTGGAGATGGGGTCATGAGCGATGCATCTTCTTTCATGAAATTTGTAATCGAAGAGAGCTCAGGAGTTGGCATTTCTATATCTCTGCCAGCAACAAATCTTCTCGGAGGCGTTTTAGTTCCCAGACTTTTCATGAGATGTTCCGCATCCAACACACGTTGGATTTCACGAATGAGAAGATTCTGAAAATTTAGGTAACCGACTGAATCGGAAATTTTTGTTGCAATCTCACTTGAGCATTTCGAAAATTGACATTGTGATTCGATTCATATATATTGGTCATTGATTGAAGCTCTTTCATCAGCTCGTCAAGATAGCTACAATTAGAAAACTGAAAACAGTATTTCTAAAGCTGCTGTATGCACCTGCCAGTTTGACGATTAGTTGGTGAGTCGTTCATTTCGCGTTCCGAGTTCATCTGAGGTGGAACCGAAATCCGCGGCGTTGCTAATAAACTATTCGATAGTTAGTTATGATGAAACAGTAAAACCTCCAAGAAAAGACAATAGTGTATCCCCAAAAAATTACCCACGTAGCATGCTCCCAATGCTAGCAAGTTTAAAAAACTAATTTCTTCATATTTTCAGGCTGACCCATTTCATACTGTATTTGGAATAGCTGCACTTTCCTTGTTTGGTGATGAAACTCTGGAAGAAGTGGATCCGATTTTTTGCATGACGAAGAAGTGCCTTGGAGACCTACGAATTGAAATGTTTTAAATTATTGTAGAAAACTTAATTTATTTGTATTATTACAACTGGAATTTTTATTTATTGTAATTTTTTTCATCATAAATTAAAACAATGTACTTCTTGGTGTTGATACTTCTTCACTTTTCGTTCTCCTATTCTGATGTTGCTTCTGTTTTGCCCTCTCACACGATGCAATGATTCCCGGCTTTTGTGGTCGAGAATTTCTCATTCGATTTCTCTCCTTCTCTCGATTCTCCTTGTTCTTCCGGAAAAGAAATTCGACAAGAGCCGTGCACATCGAAAGAACCATTCCGGCCAGAAGAATATAGAAAATTCCGGCCACTTTTGATAAGTTCAAACTGCTACTCGTGCCACCATCCGATGTTCCAGTGTCGCATTGTCCACGATCGTACCACCACTTGTTCTCCAACTTTTTCAGTTCTCCTTTTTCAGATAAATACAGAATAGCAAGATTCAGAGACACTCTGGAATAGTTTGAGAAATTGTGTTTCGCTTTAGCTAAAGCTTTAGGTATCTTACCTCAATGGATTCCCAATTTTTGAAGCAATTCCATAACCCAATGTGTTCAAATTCTGCCCAACTTTCATCGTGTCACAGGGCCTTCGCCCAGATTCATAGTTATTCGTTGTCTCCTCAAGTAAAAATGCATATTTCCCTTTGCTGGTTCTCACTTTTTCTATTCCATCAGCATATGAGCTGACGAATATTCGATTCGATGTGCTGAAAGTTCCTTAGAATATTTTATGTTTTTCAAATTATGTACTAACCTATTGGATATGGATTGCTTCTCCAATTCCATCTGTTTCTGTGTTGTACTAACCATGAAATTCCACATCTTTTTGTACAATGGAACAATTGAATCCTGAAAAATGTAGGTTTACTTTGAGCTCATATATCACAATTCCTGTAAAAGATATCAAAAAGTTGTCAATTAACAAAATGTTCATCATAATATCAAAAACATTCTATCAGTTAACTACTTGTTGATATCTTTCACAGGAACCGAGATATATAGCCTCAAAGTTGGCGGTTTGAGTGGACTCCTACTGTTTACGGTACCTCAAAGAAAGCAGCTGTTGATCCTCCTTCAACTACCCCATACAATATTTTATTCTGATTTGCCAAATCTTCAACACTCTCAATTGGAGGCGTCATACGTTCTGAAATTTAGTTATTCGGTTAGAAATTTGAAAAAAAAGAGATTTACCCAAAGTTAAAAAAGCTGCGAGATTAGCAGTATAGGATGAAACAATGATAAGGGTGAAGAACCACCAACAAGAAGATGCAATCCTTCCCGAAACGGCCCTGGAAAATATTAAAAATCAAACTTCATTAAAAAAATGTTACCTCGGAAGAATGTCAGTTCCTTGTTGCATGAAAGCTGCCAAAGTGAACCAGAGTGAGTTGTAAAGAGTGAATTCGTTTGTTACTGTGAATTCCCCTCGTTTGAATTCAATTCTTTTTTCGTATGGAGAAAACCAAGAGACTAGGAAAATAGTCAAAGAGACTCCAAAATAAGAACTCAATGTAAAAATCCAAATTGTCATTCCAAGTGGTTCCATGAAAGAGAATATATTGAACTCTTGCTTCTCTGGCTTCTTGATCATTATTGATATTCCAGTTGTCATGAATGGCTTTGAGAAGTCTACGGCTCGTTCTCTTTCTTGAGTTATTGTCAATGGAGCCACTGCCACGTCAGCTGTCTGAAAACCAAAGAAAATTCTAGAAGAATACAGTGAACACCAACCTCATTTAACAAGTACCCAATCATCCCATCCCAACTTCCATCTGCTTGTCTTGAACCATATTTGTTACCATCAGAAATGAAGACGTCATATTCGAATCCGGTGATGTTTTTCGCCAACAAGTTCAGCAAGTCAATACAGTACCCCTCGAATCTGAACATTATTCAAATCGTTTACAAATGTGTGCAAAAGTTTTAAAGATTGTCTTTTTCAGTTGAAACAGTTCAAATTTACAATTAGGTGTCTAGGAGTAGCTTGTTGGATTAGTGTTAATGATCTAATAGAAGCCCACCCTATACGCCCACATTGAGCTCAATTATCTCGATTCCTGTGAAATATATGAAAAACTTGTCAACTGAAAAATTATTTTTCATAATTTTTATAACCAATATTTTTGCATTTAACCATTTTTTTGATATCTTGCATCGGAGCCAAGATAAATAAGCCCAAACTTGACAGTCTCTATTGCAGGTTTTACGGTAGTTCAATGTCAAGTGTCTACAAAAGGGATCGTAACTTATTGGATTAATTGGAAAATTTCTAGAAATTTAAAACAAAACTAGCGTTTTATTGTGGTATTTAGTTGACAACTTTTTTGTAAAAACCCTTTTCATAGAGATAAGACATTTTAACGACTTTAGTGGATTTTTAACTTTTAAGGACGATAGAACATATCGTAAACACTATAAAAGAAGCCCACCCAAGCTAACCACTTTGAGCTCAATTATCTTGATTTCTGTGAGGGATATTAAAAAGTTGTGAAATGATAAAAGATTGGTGATATTTTGATGAATTATTTATCAATTGTCAGATTTTTAATATCTTACACAGGAATCGAGATGATTGAGCTCAAAGTTGACGGTGTGGGTGACCTTCATTATTGGAAATACGGCAACTCATTTTTTCAATTTTCAAAAACCTTTTCACTTACCTATCATTTCCTTTTAGTTCCGGTTCTCCAGGATTTCTTCTTTTCAACATTACAAACGGTTTCACTAGAACAGTTACAACATTGAATCGAAGTTTCCATGGTTTCGATGGAAGTATTCCTTTTCTCGTTTGGCTTGAATCTTTTTTTCTTTCCTGTACATATTTCTCTCCGCCGAGCAGAAATCCTTCATCTTGTGCCCATTGGAATCTCTAAAAATTTTGATTTTTTCTGAATTCTTTTTTTTTTTGGGCTTATCAAATTCTGATAAATCCCTTGATCGCAGTTGATCTTGCTTTTTCCCTCACCTCCCAAATACTATTCAATGAGTTGACTCCCGGTTTAATCTCCACTATTTCCGCAGAGAAATTGGTCCTTCTTCCAGTAACTTTATCAAATTGTATCCTTCCAGTCAATGTTCCATCTTGCTCCGTGAGTACAACTTTTTTAATGGCTTCTGCAATTTTGAGTCCGTGTTCAAAAGACTCAAACTGTCTTGTTTCAGTTTGGTCTTCGTGGGGCCTACAGTATAATCCTTTCTTTCCACGATTGAAGAGTTGATGGCGGACAAAAGATCTGAAGAAATTTCCAGAGAATGGGATTTGAAAACATTCAATTCTTACTTATCAAAAATCCCTTTTCCATGTTCATCCATAGCAATTTGCAATGCTTTTCCAGCAACTAGAATTGCATCATGAGCGAATGCAGCGGCGGTTGGGATACTGTCAGTATTTGAAAATCCACCTCGATAAACATCGTGAAATTCTGCTCTTGTTCTACTGAAAAAATGCCCTTCTTTCGGAAAAAATAGGTTTTAGGCCCTACAGGAATTTCTTGTCGTTCTTATCAAATATTCGGAAAATAGTGATGTTGATAAGAGAAAAGTGGAATCCAGTTAGATCGGATTCGTCGACTTCCTAAAATTCTGATTAGAGTGATAAGCAGTAACAGTTAAAATAATTACAAAATTCGAAAAAACATAATGATATTCTTTCTTCACCAGAACACTTTCCTCCAGTGCTCTCAAAAAAGCACGAGTACGGTAGCTTCCTTCCAGATCTACAATCACATTCACGGGTCTGAAAATCTGATTGGGTACTGTAATATTGAAAACTTTTAGAATTCTTACGTTGGCTCATCGATCTCTTCTGAACTATCATTACTTCTCAACGTATGTTGAGTGGATATTCTACGATGGAATTCGTTCAGGAACTCTTTGAACATTTCTTCGTCAGGTGGAGCCTGAAAATATTGAATTCAAGGTGAAATTGAATGCAAGCCCTACCACATAATTATCCACAAACAGTTGGTATTTCGGAGACTTTCTGTGTAAATAGGAGAACATTGTTCGCAGTGTTCTATCAGCTGAAAATGTCAGCGTTTGGTGAAGAAGTATCCAGTAACTTTCAACTTTGAGCCAATTTATCTCGGTTCCTGTGAAAGATATTAAAAAGTTGTCAACTAGTGGATTCTTTATCATAAAATTACAAATATTTTAGTAGTTGACAAAATTTTATATCTTGCATTGAAATTTAGATGATTGAGCTCGAAGTGAACAGTTTGGGGGACCTTCTATTACAGGTTTTACGGTGATCGAACATTGTTGGAAATTCAAAAATTGTTCTGAAACACTTACGAACCATTTTTTCCGTCATGAATGTAAACTATGTCTCTCCAACACTTATATTGAATATAGTCTACAAGTAATTGCTCAGCAGATGGAGCTACTGAAAATATCATTGGGATATTTGATCTGTTAGCTATGTAGTCGCTTTTCGAAGGCTCCCAATCAATCAGAGGCATCTGAAAAAAAACAAATAATTTCCCTTCAATCGACATTCCTATTCACTTTCATATGATTGGCAATGTCTTCATAGATCCCATAATTCTTGAAGTTTGTACCAGCCAGCATGAGCATGTAACCCAGTTTCATTTCATCGCAGACTGAAAGTACACTTTAACAGAATACCTATCGAAAACCATTTCTTCTCACTGATTCGATTCAAATTCCACATCAAAGTGGCCATTTCCATTGCGGAAGGTCTCTTGTCCCCAAAAGGACATCGAAATCAACATCTGACAATGCGTTGAATGTCATTTCCGCTAGTCGGAGCATCTGCGAAAAAAAAAGCAATGATTTGCATAACTTTTTATTGAAAAGATTTTAAAAAGTTGGATTTGAGAGAGAAAACTTTTGAAAAATTGGGAGTCACCTCAATGATGGCATGAGCAGTGTCATTATCGATATCTGTCGAGGCAACGAATGCTCCTGTAATTGAGAGATGATTTGTTTTGGGAATAGGTCTTTGGGTTGAAGAAACTCATACGTTTAGAAGAATAAAAGGATCAGTCTGTTTTCCGTATTTTCAGCCAACATTTGAATATATTTTCAGCAATTTTTTTTCGAAATGTTGAATTCCGAGATTTTAAAATTTCATCAAAATTTCAAAGCCCTCACAATTAGGTGTAGACAATACGGGAATTTTCAGAAAAGGAGGTTCAGTCTAAATTTCAGAGTTGCAGAGACTCAGAATTTCGGAAACTGGAAAGACGTTTCAGAATTTTAAAAATGAAGTTTCCAAACTTCGGAGTTCCCGAATTCACATATCTCTGAGATAAATTTCTCAAAATTCTAAATATCTAAATTTCCGAGATATTAAATTCCGAAATTAACGATTTTTTGAGTTTCTGAAGTTTTCAAGGAATTTCATAACTTCCAATTTTTTAGACCCTGATTCATAAGATTATGGGTACTGTAACCGGAGGCCAGGAGGTTTAGTAAACCGACTGGTTTGTAAACATTTTCAGATTTTTTTTTCAACTGCTTACATAAAAAAGTTTTTAAAATAAATTATTTTGACATGCATTTATTTTATTTTTTTCGGAATACTTCAAAAATTTGAAAGTTCTTTGGTACTATTCAACTGGCTGTATTTTTTGAGTTTTTTCTTTCAGAATCTCAAAATGTTCCATATAAATCAATCACTTTATTTTACTGGTTTTCTCTAAAAATATAATTGTTTTCAGGATATTTTAGCTAATATACCGGAAACACTCTAATAGAAGGCAATCCGAACGGCCAGCTTTGAGCTGACTATGAGAGCTTGAATTTCGAAAAAGGCAGATTTGATCTCATATATCGAATTTCCTGTGAAAGATACCAAAAAGTGGTCAACTAACAAAATGTTTTTGTTATTATGATAAACATTTTATCCGTTGATTACTTTTTGATATCTTTTACCACCACCGAGATACACGAGCTCAACGTTGGCCGCTTGGGTGACCTTCTATTAGAATGTTTAACTTTTTATGAATCTAACCGTCCGATAGTTTTTGTGTTTAGTGTGGAATGGAGTACTGTAGATACCGTAATTACATTAATTTTACCTCTAGCATTTAAAACTGAAGTTCCTGGGTTATTCGAATGTTAGAATCAGAACTTCAACGAATCGTATTTTTCTTCTAGTCCACAACCAAAACACTTCAAAACCTACTACCCAGAAATAGCTCTGATAGTGGGTCTACTGGGATGAAAGATCTAGGTTGAAAAAAAATAGAAATGTTAAGTTTTGTTTAGAGTGAAAAAAATTTTGTTGATTCACTTACTTAATGGAAACTTTTTGGATGTTTCTCCGATCCTTGTGGTTAATAGAAGAATGAAAAGAAGACATTGTTTTCTATTCATTTTAGGTGAAAAGAATCAAACAGAATAGTCATAAACTATAAACAGTTCAAGAGATCTTTCTCTCGGAAAGTTGGGAGTAAGAAAATGAGTTAAAGGAGTCCTTTTGCGTCTTCTCCTTTCCGTTTCTCCAAAATTGAAAATGACAGCTTCTGCTACAGGAGACGTCCTCTTCTTCTTCACTTCTTCTCAAATTGCTTCTTCTTCTTCATTTTCTTCTCCATCTGCGGGGATTCTCTGCACAAGAAGAAGAGAAAAAGGACCACTTTTTCAATTTTCCTGCCAGTTTTCGGTGGGCCCGTCCCCACGGTTAAATTGGTTGGAAGAAGAGGAGTCTGTGTGAAAGACATAGATGTAAAACTGAGAAGATTGACTTTCTCCGTATCCCATACTCAATTGTCAAAATTTCAATTATTTTCCCCCGGTTCTCCAGAAGAATATAGATTTTGAGTTTTTATTTTGAAGAAAAAATAAAGCAATTAAGAAAGTGGTAACAATTATCGAAAAGTGAGAGCGAATGATCAAACGGATCAAAACTCGGGGAGAGTGAGATTGGACCAATATGGTTCAAAGTGCAGAATAAAGTCTAGAAGGGGGTACTATAACAACACAGCACGTTTACTTCAAATCCACCAAAAATGGATAGAAGAAAAAACTAATTAAAAACAACACTACTAAACAAGGGGAGCAAACTTTTTTGATTAGAATGGTTTGAAGAGATCCACATTTAAAACCACGATCTTATTTTTGCCCTAGTAGAACGGAGTGGGCGGGGTGAGAACTTGTTAAATTCTTCAAAACAAATTGAAACACAAACGAAATCACAACGAATTGAACCCAGGAGATTATGAGGAGGAAGCGAGATAATGTGTATAAAGTAAGAAAGAGAGGGAGAGAGAGCACTGAGAAATTAGTGGAATCGACAGTGAGCAACAAATGGTCAAAGGGGTTTTCCAATGTGGAAAATGGAAGAATCGTTAACAAAAAATAAATGCCATCAGATATATAAAAACGGGAGAAGTATACAAAATGTACAGAGGAAGTTGGGGAGAAGACACTGGGGCTTATAGTCCAAATGGTGTTTCTGTGTTATTCGTGATATGGTCTACAGGTAATCCGTTCTCGTAACGTTTCCACATTAGCTCCAGAAGGTCTTCCATGTCATGACAATATTGTTTGACATCGAAAAGCGTTGATGTTGTTCGCGCCATCCATACCTTTGCTCGCATACTAGCCAAACTGAAACAAAATTGATTGAAATGTTCCTATTAAGGATTAACTCACTGTTCAGCATCATTTCCCAATCGGGTTGCAATTTGAACATACTCGTTCCTGGTCTTTGCCACTAATTCAGGTACTCCAAGAGCATAAAGTTGTGATGTCGCAACACGAGAAGCCAGAGATTCAACTGAAAAATTAATAGTTCAGAACCCCCAAATTGTATTTTGTAGCTTACGTGGCATTGTGACCATTGGAGTTCCAGTCCACAAAATGTCCATTCCAGTCGTGTGTCCATTACAGAGGGGAGTATCTAGGCATACATCAGCAAGTTGTCCACGACGAACATGTTCTTCCTATAAAGTACAGTTTTCTTGTGAAGGATTAAAGATAATGAAGTACCAACCTTTGCTGCAACGTTACTGAAAACTATCCTTGATGGTTCGATTCCCCTCTCAACACAATATTTTCGAATGTGCTCTTCTCCTTGATATGGGAACCTCAGGAGCCATAAAACGGACTTCGGTACATTTTCAAGAATTTTAATCCACATATCAAGAGTTGGAGGATCTATCTTATAAAGCTGATTGAAGTTGCAAAACACAATAGCGTCATCCGGAAGTTGATATTGAGCTCGTGACGTCAGAAGAACCGAGTTTGGAATTTCTTCTCCTGTTGCCGCTTTATGGTGCATTTGGGACTGAAAATATTTAATGGAAGAACTCTAAATCTTGAAATATTGTTGATTACCTGTCCAAGACCATTCTGTACATTTACATCTTCCATTACATTCATTGTCATCTGTCCAGTCATAATCATTTGTTTGATTGGTTCCGTTGGAACTTCCAGGACTGGGAGAACAACTTCAGCTTTGACTAGTTCCTTCTTCGGACCACTAACCACTTCTGTATCCAAAATTTGCTCCTTGATTTCTGATTTCGCGAGAATCGGATCCATATTAGCAGTATTCATGATCAGACTAGAGTCTCTTTCCGTGGCGTCCTTGTCCTTCACAACCACCTTTTCAGTAAGATGCCGAAGCATTTGAGCGTGGTCTCCAATGAAGAATGTGTGTGGCATGTAAGCAAGTTTCTCGGTGAATGCACAAGACAGGCGAAGAGGAGATGTTACTGCATCCGTGATGATGTAATCCATGAATGTTGCACCAGAAGTCGAAGGATATCCTAGCCACATAACTTGGATTGGAGCAGGCCTGAGAGCGAAGATCTCATTTCGCGCACCTTTGGTGTAGCCATTCATATTGATGAGAATATGAATTCCATCTTGGGCAATTCTCTCAGCAGCTTTTCCGTAACATGTAATCTGCGACAAATCAACGAAGTGCTCCGATTCAGCCATTAGCTTCGATCGGAAGTTGGTTCCATCGTTGACCGAGAGAGCATAGCAGAATACTTCGACACGTTCGCGGTTGTGCATTCCTGGAATCGACTGCATCAAATGGGATGTTGGATGGTTTCCGAAATCGGAAGACACGTATCCGATCTTGAGGCGTTGTCCGTTTTGAACACTGAATCGGTCAGCATGGATGAGTGGTGTCTTTCCGAGCATTTGGAGATGGACCTTGTCAAAGCACAATGAAGCATGTTTAGCAGCAATAGCAATCCGAGTAGCATGAGATAGAGGATAAAGCATTGAATGATGTGGATGGACAGATGGCAACCGTTTCTTTCCTAGTTGATCTTCCACAAGTTGAACCAGTCGTCGAACTCTCTTATCGTAGTCTGTCCAATCACAAATTATTTGAAGACAGTGTGCGAGATTACAGAATGCATCTGGGAAGTCTGGCTTCAGTTTGAGAGCAGTTCCATAGCTCTGAATCGCTTCTGCCATGTTTCCAGCGTCTTTGTGAATACTGGCAAGATTTGAGTGAGCATCGGCGAAAGCTGGATTGATTTGGATGGCTCGATTATAGCAAGCGATCGCAGATGAGCTATCTCCCATCTCTTTCAGTGTGTTTCCCATGTTGGAGTAGGCGTCGGCAAATGCTGGGGAGATCCTGATTGCTTCTTTGTAATGAAGAATGGCATCTTGTAGTTTTCCTTGTTGTTGCAGTATTGAAGCAAGGTTAGAGTGAGCAGCGGCAAACTCTGGGTAGATTTCGAGGGCTTTCAAGTACAGTCGAGTTGCATCTTCAATTTTGCCTTGCTCGCGCTTGATATTGGCAAGGTTGTTTTGGGAGTCGGCATGGGTTGGGCAGAGCTGAAAACGAGAATATCATCGAATTGTTATCAATACTTTTTGTGGAAAGAATGAAAACATAATGTTGACGTTGATTCGGTTGTTTGAAAAACAGAAAAACGCTCCATGGTAAACAATCTCTGACCTTTCCAAACGATTATAGATCATATTCAGGGAATTATGTTTTCAATGTTTTATCTCATTCTCTCACCTCCAACGCTTTCAAATACATCGTTTCAGCCTCCGAAACGCTTCCTCTCTCTTTCAATGCATTAGCTAGATTACAATAGGCATCTGGGAAATGAGGTTGCAATTCGATTGCTTTCTTGTAAGTGTCGATAGCCAAATCGATCAATCTGAAACCGTAAAGAATTATAGAAACAGTGGAATACTCATCTAATACATACCCTTGCTCATAATACACACATGCCAGATTACCATGGACAACTGCATGATTCCCAGACAAATTGAGTGCACGAAGATACGCAGAAACAGCACGATCGAAAATTCGGGCTTCTTTCAGAACGTTTCCAAGGTTAATGTAGGCGTCGAGGAAGTTCGGATCAAGTGTGACTGCCTTCTCGAAATGGTGAATAGCTAACCATATTTCTCCTTGACTATTGAAAACACAACCGAGATTTGACCAAGCGACTGCGAACTGTGGTTGAGTTTCAATCGCCTTCAAATAGCAAACCTAAACATTTTCTTTTATGTCATTTTCCCGAGAATCGTTTAATTAAAACCTACCTTCGCTTCTTCAAGCCTTCCCATTGCCTTCAACAAATTTCCCAAATCACTCCTCACACAATACAGATCCGGATTAATCCTTAACGCATTGAAATAAGCGGCTACAGCTTGCTCCAGGTCTCCTCCAGACACTAATGCAGCCGCCAAATTGATATAGGCATCAATGAATTCTGGTTTAAGTTTAACAGCCGTCTTATAATTGTCCAAAGCTTCTGCTAAGTGTCCCTTCTCTTTGTAATAGTTTCCAAGATTACTGTAGGCTTCGGCGCAATTACTATTCACTTTTATAGCCAGCTTCGAGAACTGCATAGATCTGTAAATTAATAATTTGACGATTTTTACAATTAAATGAAAAAAACTAACTTTTCCAGATTCTTCACTTGAAAATTGATTGCAGAGAGCAAGAGTAGAATGGGTATATTGTTAGGATCGGTTTGGAAAACTGAATTACAAAGCTTTTCAGCATCTGCGTAATTTGCTGTCTGGAAGTGTCGATGAGCAAGTTCTGTTATGTGTTCTGCAACGAGGAAAACTGTTGTTGAAAACTATAAAAAAGCATACTTATGGTTTCAGCAACACCGTTCACAACTACAGTAGGCTGTGGTGGAAGAGCAACCGCTGCTTGTGGAGCAAGAAGTAACGAAGCAGCTGAAGAAGTTCCATTGAGTTGATATTGTGGATTAGCTGCTAACTGTTGAGCCACTGCTTGTGTTTCAAGTTGCTGAAAAAAGAAAACAAATGACTCCTTTTTAGACAGAGGATGATTCCCTTGTGATTTGAATTGACAGCATTTACCTTTCTGAATTTAACCATTTTTCGTTGAAACATTGGTTCAGAAAATCAAACCGAAATTCGGTGAGATGAAATATCAATTTCGAGAAGAAAGTAATCAAAGTGTCTTGACCTCATACACTTGTTTGAGAAAAAAAAATCTAATATTCTCTCTCAACCGGTTTTCTTTCTCTCGCTTTTCTCTTTTACTCCTCCCCTATTTTTTTCTGTATATGCCCATTTTCGGTTTCTATTTTTATGCTAGTCTCTAGATCATCACCATCATACGCTTATTGTGTTCACGTCATTTTCAAGTACACCAGGGAACGAAGTCAGATGGTTTCATATTAATGATATATTAATGATAACTCACATTACGGAGAGCTTGGTGGATCAGATTCGCGAATCCTGGATTCTGCATGATATTGGCCATTGATGCGGCCGATACTCCGGCAAGTGCTCCATTTGTGAGACTAGCAGGAGATATTCCAACTGGTGCGGCTCCTCCTGGGGCAATAACCGGAGCAAGTACCGGGTGAGCTGGTACTGCTCCGGGAGCTAACTGTTCTCCTGTCGCCCTATTACCTGAAACTTTCAAAACGTTCTTTTAAGATTTTAAGAGTCATATTTTTGTTTATTTAGTTTTTATGAAAAAAAAATCATTTCGTCCAATAAAGTTTTGAGCAAAATTAGATTATGCTATACAAATTTAGATTTATATAAGTTATAGACTAGAAAACTGTACCTTATTGTACGACTGGAAATAGCTGGGTTTCTCCATCGTCTAATCCATTCGCTATAATTCTGAAAAAAAAGAAGTCGAATTCTGAGAATTAAAAAAAGAGTTATAGAAAAAAGTGAGTATTTTCAGAATACCTTTCGAACCAGAAACTCCCAAGGGAACGGCTGTAAAAATTTAAACAGCAGGAGTATGGAAAAAAAGGCCGAAAAGTAAACGAGAGACAAGAGACAGAAAAGATATGCCAAAGACCAGTGTCTGCGTTCTCTTCTCTCTAACCACACTGCCTCGTTTCTCTCGTATCTCTTTCTTCTGATCTTTCAAGTGTATGTTCAGGCTTGAGGAGTGAGAAGAGACGCAGGAATTTGTAGAGAGCACCCAAGTAGTTGAGGGTTGAGAGAAACTTGAGTAAGACTATGTTTGGCCTTGAGTAAGCCGGAAAAGGGCCCGTAAAGAAAGTAATGGTATTGGATTCTTTTTCGGTGTCCTGGACATTATGTGATGCTTGAAATCGTTCTTTTTTAAACAGATTTTTGAAAATTTTAATTTGAGTCGATGAAAAGACGATCGGAAGAGGAAATTGAACATCTATAAATTATATTCAAAAAGTATTTGTCAATTTCAATTTTTAGAAACAAACAAGGAATGTTCTGGAGACTTGCAAAAAATTATTTATAGAGCTATATCTTTAACTAGTTAGCCTATTGAAGCATTGAAAAGTTTGTCTATTTCCTTCCCAGTCGAAATAAAATGTAATAAAAAGAAATTAGAAAATCTCAGTCTCGCACTACGACTTTCTTGCAGATCAGGTTTGATTAGGAACACTGGGGGCCATGCCCGAATGTCCCACAACGACAACTACCGTAATCCAACAATATGCACTTTTTAGGTTACGGTAGTTGTCGTTGTGGGACCTTCGGCCACGGCCAGCGGCGTTTCTCTTCCACAGCTCCGATGTTTTGTAACTACAGAATAGGTCTCCCGAAACCAACGAAATTCTTGCAGCTCAGTTTCGAAATATTGAATTAAAGACTCATTACAAAGTACATTATCCTTACAGTTTGGGAGATAGAACAGGAGTCATGAAAAAAGTGCGTCTAGTTTAAAAAAAAACGAAACATTGAAAACGAAAACAAGCGAGAGGAATGTGTGGAGGAAGAGAAAGAGAAAAACGAAGGATTGATGTCAATTGTGAACTTTGAGTCTTCTGTTGAATAGGCGTAACAACTGATTGTTTCAATGCCCATGCGTTGATAGGAATACGTTTCTAGGGGCTTTCCCATTTCAGGAACATGATTCGAATTTCAATGAGCGTCGACCACGCTCGGTAGCCACAGAGAGAGGGCAACACTTCTTGCAAGACATCAGTGTTCAGAAAACGAATAGAGGAGCGAAAAACAAAATAACAACTGGTTTTGTTGCAAAGAATACTTTTTCTGAAAATCAATTTTAAAATGATAATTGACCTATATTTTCCCACGGATAGTGGATCCGAAACATTTGAACAAAAGTGGAAAATAATTGTTTTCTGATATCAAAACAATTATTTTCAAGCTGAAGTATATACATAAAGAACACAAGAAAACATCATAAAAAGATTAGAAGATCATTTTTCAAAAATAGTCATATTTCGGCGGAAGACTATTTCCAGTTCAGTTTCCAGTTCAGTCCAGCATTATTTGTGATAGAAAGAGGGTTCATATTAAGAAAAAAATCTACAATAGGGCGGTTCTTAGTAGAAAAATGTGTGGAAAGAGCTGAAAGAAATTCGTTTCATTCTCAAAAAAAAGAAGTCCTTCTTTTTTCCCTTCATCTTCTTCCAGTTTGTCTAGCATTGCTGTCCCTCTTCCTCCTCCACTCTCTCCTTTTTTCTTTTACTTCACTCCTTCAATTCTCTTTTTTCGACCACGGGGTTTCCCCTTTGGTCTTGTGGGGAAGTAAGACAGCGTAAGAAAACGAGATATCACAAGAGATATGGAATACCCCCCAAGAGAGAAAGAGAGACAACTCTGCACACTCTCGACCTTGTATTATCTCTTCACGAATGGTGTTGGCCCAGTGCCAGAGTTCAGTAAAGACAAAATGAGCATATTAAAAATAGTTTTCGGATTGCAACGGCGCCCCAGAATCTTTCTGAAACTGGTTTTGAAGAGAAAACTCTGAAACCCTTTATTCTCGTACAATTTTTTTGTTTCAAAACGTCTAAAACGCTAATAGAAATCGCAGCTTCTCTTCCGAAACAGAAAAATGAACATTACAAACAACGACTCTAGTGAATCGGGGTGGAAAACAAAAATTGACGAAAAGAAGACGACAAAAAAAATCTATGGAAGCTACTTATGAAAGTGGAGAAGGTGGTTCATAAGAAGGATGATTTAGTGATGGTGGTGCACATAATCCGGATCATATGAATCCGAGTCCAAATCCAAAGACGTTTCATGTGATGTCAAATCGTCGTAGTATGCCTCTCGGAAGTAATACTCATACCTGAAACAAAATTTTAATTTCAACGATTGAGAAAAAATGATGTAATTTACCATGGTTCTGGAAGATTATGTCCGGTGTGCCAGGCAGTGGTTCCGGCTTGATGATCACCGTTTTTAGCAATGTAGCCGTAGCCATATGGCGATTTCAGAACTTCTTTGCGCATGACATGAAGGAAATGACCAGTGTCTCTCGGATTCGTGTAGAGCTCTCCAACTTCGTGTTTCGGAATTCCGTCGAATGCAAGCATACGAGCATCATACTTGTTCGTTACACTGTAAAAACAAAACGTCTATTACATTCATTAATATCTGAAACGTACTATTGTCTCCATCCATTCCATCCGATGGAGTCAACAATTGTGTTCCATTCTTCCATAACATCTCCACTATGCCACTCGAAGAAGTCGAGGTCCAATCGCTCAATATCCTGAAAACCGATGAAAGATGTTTTCAAAAAAAGTGAGATTCAATTTACCTCGACAACAGCGTCAGTATCTCCTGGTTTCGTCCAATCGTACGCAAGAATCTTTGAGTGATTGCGGTACTCGCGGAGAGAATCTTTGTAAGACTCTTCGATAGTTTTCAAGTAACGCTCATCGACGGTAGCAATTTCATCGGTCTGAAAAATATGTCAATTTTTCAGAGCTACCAAATTGAAATTTATCATATTTCTAGACTCCTTTAGCCCGTAGTCAACTAACATTTCCTCGTCGTTTGATATTCTCCAAACATTTGCTTGTTGGGGTGTTCAAATAAACAACCAAATGTGGCCAGAAATGCAATTGAGGAAGAGCGTTTTTGCGAACAAAGTAGTAATGCTTGAAATCTGTGAAAATAAAAACATCTTCCGAAATTCTCAAAAATGATGCTCTTACATTCATGACCAATATAGTTCTTATCTCTCATTGCATTAGCGAAGACGAAGTCAGAATGTGGCGTGCGCTCAAGAACAACTCCTTGTCCAGTGTTGAGGATGTGAGCCAATGCATTGAGATACTGATCGAAGCGACAGTTGAAAATACGGTCTTGCATGGCAGCCGAGAGCTCTCCGCTTGGGTTTTTGTAGAACATGGAGATATCTGGGAGACGATATCTAGCTGGGAACTAAAAATATAGGTTAATTATTGTGCAACTATGAAAAATTGAAAATACCTTGCTGTAATAGTTACGAAGATCGTTTCCGTATCTGTCGATAAGAATATCATCCATTCGGAACTCGGGGAAATGAACAAAGCCCAATTGGTCAGCAAGCTGCTTCGCCAAAGTCGTCTTTCCGGATCCGATATTTCCTTCGATAACAATCAATTTCGAATTTTGATGAAGGTGTGCTTGAGTGTCATCTTTCAAACCATCAATATAGTTGAAACCTTTGTGTTTGTAATCCCATGGATCTGGGTGATCCGGTGGCAGTCTCAGGACACTTCTGTGTACAACTCCTCTGATCTGGTTGGACAGAGCTCCGGATCTGGCCGGCGCTAACAGACCGACTGCCAGTCCACCTAGCTTGCTCATCGAACCCGGCATTGAGGTCTAGAACTGTCATTTCTTATTCAGTACTTATTACACACCAGAACTGAAAAAAGTACAGCTATCAGCTCACAAACTGATCAGATTTCGTTCGACGAACAAATACCATAAAGTTATTAAACACTTCATTAAAATAAATACGAAACAGGATTTCAAAAAATACTTTTTTCTGAAATCTGACTTTAACAGAAGACATGAATATATAAAAAGAAAGCATGGGGAAATGGGGGAAATTCCGTAGAAATAAGATCAAGAAAGCAATGAACATATGGGAAGTTGAGATACAATGCTCCCAACTAAGAATTGGATCGTTAACGGCGATCTCCGTACCGTCCTCCGCTGCTTCCACCGCCGCTACGATAGCTTCCTCCTGATCCGCCTCCTCCGGAATTGTAACGACTACCTCCGCGGTCATATCCTCGATCTCCACCTTGTCTATCACGACCTCCTCCGAAGCCACCGCTTCCCCCACGACTATCTCTATACCCACCCGAAGATTCTCTGCGATCTCTATCGTATCCTCCCCCGTTGCGGTAAGACTCTTGACGTCTATCACGACTACCACTTCTGTCTCTCTCCCTATCATCGTATCCCCCATACCCAGATTGCATATCTCTTTCTTCAATTACTGCTTTCGACTCACGAGTTTTACGAGTGTCTCCTTTTCCTCCTCCTGAAAAAGTAATACATCAATCAGTTCGCGAATTAAAGTTCTTACCAAGTCTTCTGGGCAGCCATGTTTTCTGGGTACGTCCTCTTTCGTAATCAACCACGAGACGTTTACCATCTACTTTGATTCCGTCGGCTTTTTTATATGCAGCTGAAATATAGCATTGAGAATAAAGAAGCTTAGCGTAACACAATTGTGAACTTATAAACTTCCTGGTCATATTCTTATGATACCGGTACACCTAACCTACCAAATTGCGCTCACAAAGATCCATTTCAATCGCAGCGATATCTACTTACCCACTCACTTACCCAAAATCAAAAAATTTTAATTATATTCAAACTTACAAGCAAAACTTACTTGCAGACTGCAGTAAACTTACAAGTCAGCGGAAATTTTTCACAAAAGAAGTTCGATGTTCGGGGATAAACTTACAATATGCTTACCCTTTACATATCTGAACGTTTTACTAAGCTTCAATAGTAACAGAAAATTGAAGAAACTCAATGTTATCTCAAAAAATCTTTAAAGGTGACTAAACTAGGTCTATCCTTACTTTCAATTTTCAAAAAATTGGAATATGAAACAGTTTCCTAGACTTTGATATTTGTTTTCAACCGTAACTTTTTTTGAGCTCACCAAAACAAACCTATCAGAATTTAATCGATAGGAGAGTTGCGCGCTCTGCCGTTCCCATTCTTTTCCCAGAGTTTCACAATCACCATGTGGCTGTAAAAATTACAAACCGATTGTTTTTTTCTTTCAAGATAAAATAGATTTCAAAATAGAGCCAGCTGATTTCAGTTCTAATATGCCAAAACAAAAAAAATCATCAACGTACTGTGCATTTCAGCCTTATCGCTGTACTCAATGAAAGCATATCCACGTGGCTTTCCGGATTCATCGTGCACCATTGTTAGCTGCAATATCAGAAACTTGTGATACAGATCTAAAACAAACGTTTACATACCTTCTTAATCTTTCCGTATGCTTCAAACTCCCGTCTCAATTTACTCTCGGATGTTTCGTAGTTCTGAAAAAGACACAGTATTCCTCGAAAATAAAACATAGAACTCACAATTCTTCCAACAAACAGAGTGCGATAGGGATCCTCCGTAGCTCTTGAATTCTCAGCAGGGTTCCATGTAGCGATACCTTGTTCAACCTTATATGCAAGCAGCTCTTCCTTCTGTCGCCGTTTTTCTTCTTTAGCCTGTTCTTTTGTCACAACTGGAAGTTTCGGTGGAGTATCCTTTGGATCCTGCAAATAGTTTTATATTTACACTTTGATTTTTTACAATTAATAAACCTCAAAAAGTCCAACGTATTGGGCAACTCCTGTCATTGGTGCTCGCTTTGCATTTTTATCGACGAGAAGTTCTTGAACCGGAGGTAGATATTGAACCGGTGGTCGAGCTTCGAATAAAGCCAATAAGTTCGGCGGAAGGAAAGCAGTCATAGTGTCTGTAACTTTGGTTATGTGTAAAATACAATTAAGAAGCGTTTTCACAAATCAAAACACAGAAAAAATATATTAACAAAGCTTAATTCCGTTAAAGGTATTTTGAAACGATAGCGATTTGAGAATCGAATAAGACACTTATGTATGAGAAAAAAATTATACTCATCAGTTTGCAACACAAAATAATCAAACCAACAACCAAAACCTGGGCGTCGTCTTAAAACGCTATGGATTATTGTTCTTCAAAGGCGGTGCGGTCGCGTCGCGTACGCGTTTCTTCTTCCACGGCCGAGGTGTGCGCGGTTTGCAGTGTCTCTGAACAGATGCTAAAACAGATGCTAAAAAGCGAACAATTTTTTGCGGCTCCAGTATGAAAAATAATCAACCCAGTTCGAAAAGAAACATTTGAAAAAGTATGAAAGATAACTCAAATTGCTATAGCAAGCCCATTTGTCGCATTATTGCTGCGTTGAAAACAGATACTTCCAAGGAAAGGAAGAAACAGTGGAAATCTTTTAATCTCAGATATTAACAGTCATTAAACAAGAACACAAATTTGAAAAATATTTCAAACTTATGCTTTTAAAGGGGATTCTGAAAAGCGATTGTTCTTCACCCAAAAAGTTTACAATGAAGACTAATTATATTATTATTATTCGAATATTAAATTTTCGATGATACAATTCCTTATCCTTGGAGTTATGAAAATTTATTACTTGGAATCGCGAAAATAAAGAACGAAAAAAAGTAGTTGCATGAATGTGCACAGTATTTCTGCATTAGATGGCTGTTCCTCTTTCCAAATCATCCTTGATATCTTCTGTGTATTTGCCATAATACTTGTCCAACTTTTTGTTGAACTTTTTGTTTTTCTCATTGATATAATCGATCGGGGCATCTGGATCGTAGAGTCGTCGACGATGATACTGCTCTCTTCTTTTGACTTGGCCATGGACATCTTTCACCAACCGATCCATAGCAGATGTTGTTGGGTAATGGTTTCCTGAGAATTTTAAATTATTGACTGTCATTTATCAAGCACTCCCTACCATGAATAAGAGTGTCCGCTGTGGGGTAGAACTGATCACCTCCGACACATTCCTTCATTTTCTTATATGACTCCAGATCGGGATCCAGCGCTGCAGTCAGACGAGTGTGTTGACGCAGCGTCATATCTTCATAAGAAGCGAATCCCTGATCTGGATTCTTCTTTCTTTTCCTTTTTTGTTCAAGCTTCTCTGTAACATCTGCAGACATTTCCAGACTTCGTACTCTCTCGTAATCCAATCCTTTGTCTTCCGCTTCTTTTCGATCTTGCAACTCCTTCACCTGCCATTGGTCCCGCTCCTTTTTCGCTTCAAAGTTTTTCGGTAATTTCTTACGGCGATCTTCTTCAACAACCTGAAACCGATGTTATTAACATTAGAGAAGGCGATTTCGACTGGAAAAGTTGATCTCGAATATTACCGAAATTCGGGGAACTATGTGTGAATGAAACTTAAAAAAATACCTGCGCATGGTTTTCTTTTCGAGCTTTCTGTCGCATTTTGTGGAGATCCCGAAATCTTTGATTAAAATCTTTCATTTTAGATCCACTTGACGCGGTACCACTGCTAGTCTGCTCGGAATCTGACATCTGTAAAGAACAATATAAACTGAAAAGAAAACTAGATAATTTCTAACATATTAGAGAAGATGATATCGAGATGAATACATTCATGTGATTTTGTTGATTCAATTATAAACATATTTGCAAACGTTTCTTTGGTCTGATGCTAAAGCAAAGGCCGAAGAAAAAGCGGCTAAACTCATAGCATTCTGTAAAATCGTAAAACTTCTTAAAGTCCTACTACGAAATTAAAACTGAATTTTTTTTTTGAGATATGAAATATTTTTTAAAAGCAATTAAATTAAGTATTTATAATGACTTTTTGTTAAAAATCGGTTCATGACTCTATAAAAATGTAGAAATAGCGCCATGTTGGCTTTACTTGCAACATGCCGAGAAAAAATCGAACTTTTGTCTCAGAAATCAATTTTTTGAAAACAATTTTGCTTTCAACAGGCGAATTTTATTAAAAAATTGGTGCTCAAAAAGGATCGAAAAAATCTCTACATATTGCAATACAGCGCGATTGCAGTCGATTCTATTCTGTTGATCGCGAAGCGGTCGCGTTGCGTATGTCACTGGTTGCGCTCAACACACCGAACGCGTCAATTACGGGATGTTTCGGGCATATTCAGCTCATTCTGGCGGTAGTTCAAATATATGTCATAGTTTCAAAATTGCTAAAAAATAGCTGATTAACAACATCATCTTACTTTTTTCCCGTTTTTTCATCTTTTCTTTAATTTTATTAGAAATGAAAATCAGAGTCATGTGGTTTTACAGCTAACAATGATGCTCAATAGTTCTGAGATAATAGATGGCAACATGGTTGTGGAAGGGTATGAAGAAATCGCAGTGGACGACATGAATGACATGAGTGTGAGTTTTTTTTAATTCGCAGCCGTTCAGATTGTTTTATACATTTAAATGATCGATTTTTCTGTTGTAGGAACTGGTTGTTGAGAACGATATCGTTAACGATGATGAAGACAGTCTTCAATACGAGGAAGTAGTGCATAGTAGTGATTACGGTGGAATGCCCATTGATCAGTATAATGATATTGTTCAATATAAACGGTAAAAGCTTCTACTTATTACATTATCTAAAATTTAAGTTCAGAACGAACGTAGTTCCTCCAAGTGTAACAAGCAGGAATGATAGAAGTGCTCCTAGTCACTGGAGGTCTCGATGCAAATGCTTCTCTATGGCTGATGATGGCGAAACTCTGTTATACTATAACCCGGAAAACACCAGTAATGCAATGCCAAAGGTTGTGGTTAAGAAAGGAGAAGTTCGAAAGGTTCTTGAAAGAATACACGAGCTCATTGGGCATCTTGGACAGAAAAGAACGTAAGAATGTTATCCTTATCACCACAATAATTCGAAAGCTATATTTCAGTCAAATGGTTGTTCTCAGAAAACTTTACTGGAGATCCGTACGTCAAGATGTGAAGACCTTCATTGCATCCTGTGATTTTTGCACTGAGAAGAAACTTCATGGCAGAAAAATTACCAAGGCTCCTGTAGATATCACTTCTGAAAATTTCGATATTTCTGTACTTGTTAGAGATAACGCTACTGATCGATTGGAGTTTCATTTGGTTGGATACAATGAGGCAGAAGTGCGAGAGGCTTCATATACAAGAATGTCGTCGTATACCTTCAAAGAAACAGCCAGCGAGTACAGGAGCCGTTATTCAAATCAGCCACCAGTGGTATGTTTGTTTTCAAAAAATGCACCTTACCAAAACTATTATCAATCTATATTCAATATGATTCTGTAATATTTAACTAGGAATATTTTAGCCACCAACCTTTCGTCGTCAACCATATGTCAAAAAGCTCAACAATCAATCGGTTGGGTATCTTCTTCCATTCCATCAGAGATCTCGAACGATGGAACCTGAGTTTATTGAGATGTACGGGCGTGAAGATTACCCGCAAGAGATGATATACGAAACAGTTCCGGAAGTAGATGATGGCTTGATGAGAAACAAAGAAGAAGTAAAACAAAAAGATTATCAACTGCCTGACGCGCATCCGATAACATTCGATGGAACCGAGTTGACTTCGAAAAACTTTAAAACAGAAGATGAGGTATATTTTGCAACATATTTAATGAAATAAAAAACAAATGATAAAAGTATCAAAATTTTCAGACTTCTCTAAATGGATCAGTTTCCATGTCTCGCGCTGGACCTTCCTCATCGTCTTCGATACCATCTCATTCAAAACAACAACATCAAAGATACGGACAGAAACGTCATATAGATGTGGATTCGGATAGAATGAGAGGAATGTGCGGATTTCGATCGTCTGAAAGACAACAATCCCCGGCTCCCACTACTACCGCTGGTTTGTTGAAAAAAAGAAGAAGGGAATTTCCAAGTATTCGCGGAATGGCTAACCGATTCAGTATTGCTATTGGAGACACTGACAGAATTGGTTAGAACAGAATTTAGGAGCTTTAACATTTATTAACTTTTTTTTCAGACAACCACGAAGTGAATCGATCAAATCCACACTTGATTGAATATCCCGATCCTTCCTCCATTCTCCGAGGTGATAGTTTAGGACTGCCACCTGTAATTATGGCACCATCTAGCAACGATGAAGTTTGCAAGCTTCAAATTGAGGTTAAACGAAAAACATAGATTTCAACCAAAAAAACTTCGATTCAGGCTCTACAACGTCATATTCATCTTCAAAAATTACAAGAAAAATTAATACATGATCAATACGAAGCTTCAATGCGAATTCCAATTACGAGGTATATTCAACAAGTGGAAGAAGTGCAAGAAGAACAGCTTGATGTTGAACATGATCTCAATCATCATCAAGTATACGAGGAAGAGGAGGAGGAACTATCCCACAACCAAACCCGTCATATTCGCCACCAATAAGTGTACTAATTTCTACTCAGAGCTAGCTTTGTTCTATTGATCTACTTTGACATGTTTGAGAACTTTCCAAATGCAATATAATTTTATTCAACTTGTTTTCCTACTTTGCCCTTATCTTCATTGTCATAGTGCAAAAATTCGTTATTTTTTAAAAGAGGAGTCCGACATATTGAGATAATCTAGAAACATATTCCATAGAGTAATTTGATAATGTTTCTAAAAGTGGACATAATAGTAATTTTGGAATACGGTGCTTAAAATGAACCTACCACTTCGAGAAGTCGACCACCAAATCGCTAGTGTTAATCAAAAATTGGGCAGTGAAGAATGAAGTCAACCCTAGAAATTACAAGAAGAAAGACGAATTTTAACTTTCTAAATTTATAATAATGAAAATACCGTAAAACCTCTAATAGAACGACACCCGGAT